TAATATTTACAACACATAGGAAAATCACATCAGATGACAAAATGGTGGACAATCACACAATACTGGGAATCACGGCCTAGCCAAGTTGACACAAATTTTTGGGGGACACAATTCAATCCATAACAACATCTTAATTCTAGAACTTCTCTTAGGGACCCTGGAATATTCCTCTACCCCATTGACACTCGTAAACCAAAACCTTCAAACCTTGCTCACTGACTTTGACAGTTCCTGCTAATCAAGGGTTCAATGAGAGATTGTTCTCTTCTTGTCTCATCTCCTTCTCTTCCCTTGGGTCTTCTCCTTCTCTGTGATTTGTCAGATTGTCTCCCACTCAGCTTGCAATTTAGAGAGCAGGATAGGGCTTCTGTGTCAAGAATTTGAGGCCCAATCTATGCACAGGTTGGAAAACTGCAGGTCCGCAGCGTGGCTACTGATCTCAACTTGTGTGGGTAAAGACATGCACATTTGGTTTCTCTTCATGGTTCTTCCTTATTTCTTTCACCCTTGTGTTGCCTCTTCCTACCAGTTCTTGACATCCATAACTCCCAGGAAATAAATTATTCATTTCTAGTTCAGATATAAACTGGTTATTGAGAGAGTTCCCTGTGCCTGGGCTGCTTTTTGTTTCTTCCTAGTTTCTGACTCAGAACTAAGTCTGATTGCTGGGTATATAGGTCGATCACTTTCCTAATCTATTTTTTGCCAGCCTCTAAGTGAATTTACTCAATTTTCTCCCCTCTTTTATTCCCATTTAGTTTTATTCTCTATATTCAACACCAACTTGCCACTGCCAACTTAAATGCCCTTTTCCAGAACTGAGTGGCCTGTCTAGGCTTTGGGGGCTGATTACGTCTCTTCTGGCCCTAATTTGCAGGCACAACTATCAGATTTGCCACAGCTTATGCCAAACTGCCCACACTTCCCACAGTATAGCACTCATCACACCCATGATTATTGGATTCAGGTTTGCCTTCTCCAGATTGTGAAATCTATGAGGGTAAGGACCTTCTCTATCTTGCTAAGGGTTGTCCTTAAGGCCTAGCCTACTGCCTGTCAAACAATAGGAGGTTATTTAATGTCTTCGGAGTTGCTGATTCATTTACAACTTCACCAAATGATGCAGTGAACTTGAGGAGAATATTCGACACCTCACTATTTGGATTTCTCCTGTCCTCTAGGAAGTCCTTGAGTCTGATCCTTCCACAACCCCTTTCTGCTTCCTATACACCTAAAACAGTAGTACTTGGAACTGGAAACCATCTGCTCTCTCCTGTCTATATCTGCAATACTCATAAAGAAGGGTCCTGTATCTCCCAGAAGACTAGGAGCTCCCTGAGGGTAGGATCATGTCTCCCCAGTCCAACTGACAGGCTCCACAGCTGGAGACTGTTTATTTCTCATGCAAATTTCATGCATATATAGGGGATTGGAAACCCAAGATCACATACCACTGTCCTAGAGAAAAATGATGTAAGAACTATGATAGAATTTTCTACAGACATGTGATGTAAGATATAATTGTCAACAGCCCATTAGTCTATATTTTATAAAATATAAAACACGTCACCATCAAATTGATTCTGACTTATAGGTGGTGCAGTGGTTAAGCACTCACGGTGGTTCAAACCTACCAACCACTACTCAGGAGAAAGATGTGGCAGTCTGCTTCCATAAAGATTACAGCCTTGAAAACTCCATGGGGCAGTTCTACTCTGTCCTATAGGGTTGCTATGAGTTACAAAATATAATGCATTTGTATTTTTTATATAACTATAAAAAATTACACATTTTTAATAAGATTAACCAAAAAAAAAAATGAGCATTTTGTTATAAATCAGCTACTATTGACATTTTGATCATACCATTTCTACTTGGATATATTGTTTTAAAATAAAAAAAAGTACTATAATCATTCTTACTTAGTTTATGCCTCCTACCATATCCTAAGTAATCCAATGTTCCTGCCACCAAAGCTAACAAACTGAAAATAACCAAACAAAATTTATTTCATTTTATGTGAATTTGTCAGGGTAGGTTAACTGCTGTAACAAAATTTTCCAAAATGTTGGTGTCTTTATAGAATATAATTTTATTTTTCACTCATATCAGAGTCCAATGTGAGCTGGCGGGGACTCAGGTTTCTTCCCTTCCAGGTTCCATCATCTTTTAAGGGCCACTCTTTCTTCTATAGTCTACTGTGCAGACAGGGAAAGAGAGTTTGGAAGAAGGTACACCTGCTCCTATATTCTTGAATCTGAAGGTGACACCCTTCACTTCCAGTGATATTTCATTAACTAGACATCAGTCACATGGTCCCATGCAACTGCACTTGGCTTCCTAGAAAATTCACTGGATAACCCAGTACTGCTAGAGAAGAAGTGCACTCCCTGTAGAGTAGAAAAAGCCTTAACATCCAACTATTCAGTGTGTTTTAGATAAGACAAAGAGGCGTAACAGGTAGAAGGGTACAAGGAGCTAGAAAGAAAAAGACATTGGCTGTGGCCAAAGAGGTACAAGTCAGGTAGATGCATGAGCTCAAAGCCAAGAGAGGAATATTGGATGAGAGGGGGATTCCTTTTGCATCGAGTAATGTGGGTCCAGGAGAGACATGGAAGGTAAGGGCCCAGGCTCAAAGCTGAGGTTCAGGTCAGCCAGGGCCTTAGAGAAAAGCTGGTGGCATGGAGGACTGAAGAACAGGAAGCAGGTTGCATTAGCTCTGAGAATTCCACCAGATCAGCAGCAAGGTGTGATTGGAACTCCTTTTGCAGGACCCATAGAGAGGGGCATTGGGTGGGGAAAAGCTTGTATCGACGCCTACAGGAGAGCTACACTGATGCAAGAGGCATGCCTTAAACTAGGGCATGGTGGCAGCACTGGCGCCAGCCCCAATGGAGGAAGCTGTTTAAACTCTAGTAGAGAGGAAAGCAGATGGATGAGAAAAGTAGCAGATGCATCTGTCTCCTGCTGAGCCCTTAACCCTCTTCTCAGCTCATCCCATGAACCTTGTCACAAGGTTCAATTCCCTTACAAGGAACTTCCTAATAGTTCTCCAAAAAGCCTCTGGACTTATCTTTATAAACAATGCCATTCATTCATTCACTCGTTGTATATAATTGTCAATTCACTGATCAACAACTACACACCAGGCACTATGTGGGCATGGAGGCTATAAAAATGGATAGGGAGACCCACTGGTGGTGGCTGGTTGGTCCTGGGCTCAAGTCCATGGCACGTGACACAGCTGTGAAGCCAGCAGATGCTCCACAAACATTTAGTGGGGGAAGTAAGGCGAGGGGGACCATTCAAACACCTGGGTTTGAAGAGTGATCTGGATTTTCCAAAGACCACACCTTGTAACAGATTGTGTATTGGAGGCAGACCTGGGTTAGTGACCTCAGTCTCATATTATCTTGAGCAGAAGAAACTCTGGTCTGACGAGTCAGGGAATCTCAGCTCTCTTGTCCCTGGGTGCCCATCCCACCAGCCACCCCTGCAAGAAAGAACCCCCATGTGAGGCAGGGTCTTCAAGACCTGCTGTCCTGTTAGACAGAACAAGGGAATGGACTAGAAGGGCCAAGTTTCTCTGGGACTGTTGAACTTGGCTGTCTTTCCCCAGTGTTTTTACTGCTGTAGGTCTCCCTCTCCTGTCTGCTATTGACCCTGAGACCTTTCTCAGAGTGAAACCTTTTTAGGGCCAAAAGAATCATTTTAGCCTTTCCTTTTTAGCCATTCCTAATCAGAATGTTTATATTTTTTTCCAGCTGGGTAATTCATGCCAGGAGAACCAGAAACACCTATTGTTTATCTCCACTTCCACTTCAAACATTAAGCAGCCCAATGAGTCTCATCTGTGCTAAGGATTAGGGCCTTCAAGAAGGCAAGACTGTTTCTGATGCCAGCAGCCCCAGAGCTTCTTCCTCCTCTCTCCTTTCATTCCATATCACTGTCATCACACAGATTATTCCTGGGTGCAAAGGGCGTACAGTGGGGATGAGTCTTAGGTGATATCACTATCTGACAGCAAGTGCCAAAAGAATGTCAAGTGGATGGTTTCATCACAAAAGCTGAGCCAACAGGTAAGTGAGGGGGGTGGAATGAATCATGTGTGGCAGGCAAGGAATAAAAACAGAGCAACCCCAAAAGATAACATTTCCTTGAGGCAGGGCTCTTATTGTATAAAAAGGCCATTGGCTGGGGATACCACACCAGACTCAAGAGACAAGACAGCCCATTCTTCTCTGAACACCAGGTGAGTCTCCTTACTTGAAACTTATACCATTCATTCAAGGTATTTGATTTTTATTGAAACCTCCTTAACCTTCTGGGAAACCCTGGTGGTGTAGTGGTTAAGTGCTATGGCGGCTAACCCAAGGGTCAGCAGTTCAAATCCACCAGACACACCTTGGAAACTCTATGAGACAGTTCTACTCTGTCCTATAGGATTGCTATGAGTTGGAATCGACTCAACAGTAGTGGTTTGGTTTTTTTGGGTTTTTTTTTTTTTTTTTTGGACATTCTTAGTATCATTTTTTCCCCCATTACTGAGTTTTATCATAGCCATGCTGAGTGTTGATCAGAGTTATAGTCTCTAGGGAAATCTTTGTTTTCAAAGTAACCACAGTTTGAGCTTGAAGGGACTTTAGAGGTTAGTGATTCTGCCCCATTAATTCTCACTATGTCAGCAAGAAGGGGATGGACTTGTGCAAAGACCCATAGTAAGTTAGTAGCAGGATAAGGACAAAACTGAGGTTCACAGTGTTTCTAGTGATATTTTAATTATTTCCTTATTCATGATTTTAATATAGAGCATTTTATTCTTTCACCAAATCTTTTTGTGAACATTTACTAGATTTGGCACTTTGGCTGTTAAAATATAATTTAGACAACATGGAATTTACTGCATGAAACTACAATTTCTTTTGGAATATAAGACATGCACATCAACAGCTAAAATCCAATGTAGAAAGTGTTCTGTGTAAGGAGAAGACAAGGGCAGGTAAAGTGCTGTGGCAGTTTGGGGACAGAGAGGTGATTTCTGCAAGGCTTGCTCTAGAAGAACCTTCCCAAAGTATCATACGAGATGACTGATGTGTGGATAGTACTTGGACAAGTAGGAATGACGAGGAAGCCATTCAAGGCACAAATGGATGGTGTGGGGCTCCTGAGAGCTCAGTGGAGTTATCCTATAGGTAGTAAGGCATTCTATTTGTCAGAAATGAATGGGTGGACTTACGCTTATTCTTTTAATAATATCACAGTTCCATATGATCCAATACTGAGGGTCTCACCTTCCTCCTAAATGGGCATGAAGATGTGTCAGGAAGGAAGAGTACGGGGAAAGATCCTGCTCAAGTAGAGCTGAACAAATCATCTTTAAGTTCCTTCTCTTCAAAAGGCTCAGATCACCAAAGTATCCTTACAGCAGACAGAGAGAGAGAAAAGGATTTGCTTCTTAAGATATCTGAGGTGACACTGAACATGGCTTCTTCCCTAGTAAATCCCTGTGTAACTAAATCATCTTTTTTATCCCAAGGTCCAACCACCTTTGAAGCATGAGTTCCCAGCAGCAGAAGAAGCCCTGCACCCTAACCCCTCAGCTTCAGCAGCAGCAGGTGAAACAGCCTTGCCAGCCTCCACCCCAGGAACCACGTGTCCCCCAAACCAAGGAGCCCTGCCACCCTAAGGTGCCCAAACCCTGCCACCCCACAGTGCCTGAGCCCTGCCACCCCAAGGTGCCTGAGCCCTGCCACCCCACGGTGCCTGAGCCCTGCCACCCCAAGGTGCCTGAGCCCTGCCACCCCAA